AAAAAAAAAATATATATATATATATATATATATATATATATATATATATATATATATATGTATGTATGTATGTACATAAAAATTGAAAATTTTGTCGTTATTTTTTAATGGTGACAAAATCTATATATGTATATACAGGGTGTCCCGCCACTACCGCATTATCTCTTAAAGACGGATTCCTGAGCTAATTTGAAGAAAAAACCCGTAATGCAAAAATGTCGAGGTTATAATACTTTTCAAATTATGAACGATTAAAGTTGACCAATTATATTGGCTAAAGTACACGCGCTCAGGTACGGTACAATATATAATGGTATAGGTATATGCACATAAGTGAGAATTTGAATAAGATATGAAATTAGTTGTAAATCCCTGAAAGATACGTGACAAATGTGTGACAGCTTACTGATTCTCATAAATATATTGTGTGATATTTTATTCATAACATTTTGATGAGATTGTTATTATTTACGATATGTTTATTTAAATGATAGAAAAGGCAGATTATTATTACATATATTGTTGTATGTATAAAACTTCTGTATCAATATCTGGAAAAAGGACGACAGGTGCATGCACCTGTACCACTGTGTGTTGTACCGTGAGCGCGCGTACTTTAGCCAGTATAATTGGTTAACTTTAATCGTTTATAATTTGAAAAATATTATAGCCTCGCCATTTTTGTATTAGGATTTTCTTATTCAAATTACTTCAGGAATCCGCCCTTGAAAGATAATGCGGTAATGACAGGACACCCTATCCTATGTCGAAAGTTATACACATATCCTATGTCGAAAGTTTTTAAATACACTAAGAAAAAAAATTTACTAAATTTCAAAAAACGTTTGTTTGGATAGTATTGTGAAGATATTTGTTTAAATTAAGTATTTTTTAAAATTAAAGAAACAAATTTATATATTTAAAACTTTTTTACTTAATTTTAGAAAATAATTACTTAATTTAAACAAATAATCTTCACAGTACTATCCAAACAAACGTTTCTTGAAATTTAGTAAACTTTTTCTCAGTGGATATATTCGTGTCTGAAGAGGAAAACAATGAGAATGTTAGATACGCGTCTTTTCAGTATTTATATTGGCACTGACACTTTCATCACCTTACCGGTGGCTCGCATTGCGGCCGGTGTGACGGCACCCGGTATTCGCAGCGGGATCTCCGGTCGTTTCCTCACGATCGTGAGCTGCTCCATGCGCCTGGTGATCTGGTAAATGAGCGCGCTTGCCGCTACCGCAAAAGGATCCTTGAGTTTCGGTATTTCTCGGACTATCGGCTGCGCCAATGCCTCCAGTCGCTTCGGATCGACCGGCCGCCACTTTCTTTTCTTTGTCTGTAATACCGTGAGCCACATGAGATCGTACATAAAAGGAGCGAGCGAGCGAGAGAGAGAGGGAGGGAAGGAGAGAGAGAGAGAGGGAGAGAGGGAGAGAGAGAGAGAGAGAGAGAGAGAGAGAGAGAGA